CCCTGCTGACCTGTCTCCTCCCCCTCCCTCCCCCAGCCATGAGATCATTTAAGATTGCAACCCTCAATGTCCACAGCTGCAGGAAGGGTCTCTGGAGATGCCAGGTGCTCTCCTTCTCTTGAGAGGGCGTACCCGGGGTATTCTTGTAGAAGACCCTGACAACTCCAGCCAATGAGCTTAATTGGTGGCTGGAGTAGGGAGGCAGGGTCTCTTTTAGTTGCCTCTGAGCCATCGCTTGCAGGATGGCCACCCTGTTCTCCCCAGACCTGCAGTTGAAGGTGCTCCAGGATGCTGAGGTGGTGCCGGACCAACTGCTGCACTTCCGGGTCTAGGTGCAGCAGCTAGTTCTGAACCTTCTGAATGTGTATGCCCCTGCAAGGGACCCTGAGTTGGCAGATTTTTTCCTCCAGGCAGCCACATACATTGGCACTTTCAACCCTCACGAGTGCCTGGTCCTTGGTGGGGACATTAACTTCACCCTAGATGCATGAGACTAGTCGGGCAGGGAACAGAACCAGGCCACTATGGGCATTCTCGGGGAGATCCTGATGGATGTCTGGGTTGCCTGTTACCCTACCAGCCCCTGCCCACCTATGTGAGGGAGGAGCAGGCATGCTACTCCTGGTTGGACTGGATTTAATCTCTCTCTGCCACACTTTGCCTGGTCCCACTCCTCCAGCATCTAGCCAACCCCTTTCAGCAATCGCCACCTTGTCTGGGCCCTGGCCACGCTAGGGCCTGGGTGTCTGAGGTCAGCCTACTGGTATTTCCATGCCAGTCTGCTGGAGAATGTGGGCTTCAGGGAGGCCTTCCAGGAGTTCTGGTTGGGCTGGCAGGAGTAATGGGAAGCTTTCCCCTCAGCTTGGAGATGATGGGACGTGGGAAAGGTGCACGTCCGGTTCTTTTGCTGCAGCTACACTTGAGGGCACACCCAGCAGAGGGAGGCAGTCTGGGAACAGCTCCAGTGGCCCCAGCTCTCTAACAGTGTAGAGCCACACAGCGCCCTGCCAACTGCAGCTGCACCTGCATGAGGCGGCTGTGGTAGTGTGGGTGCCAGGCGGCCAGGGCCTGTGGCAGGCCAGTAGGGGGCACTCCTGCATTGAGCTGCCCACCTCGCTGCGCCCGACCACCTTCCAGGCTCTGAGTGCCCTCCCTGGGGTGCCTCACATCTGGTCCACCCCTTCCCTGGAGCACACCCGCTAGCCTGGGGTTCCCGCTGCCACCATCCAAGGCTCTGGACTCAATTCTGGCTCTGCACACCTTGGAGAACACAGGCCTGATCATCCAATGGGAACTAGACCCAATACCAGCACTTGGGGCACTTCCCCAAGTCAGGAGCTTATTAGGGAAGCCTCCCTTAGTCTGCAGGCCTAAGGGGCCCCCTTGGCATAATTTAGACCCACCTCTCAATAAGTCTCCCACACGGGTCACAAAGGAGAACTTTATTGATTACAGGGGGTAGGGCAGAAGCAGGGTAAAAGGTAGAACAGTATCATAGAAATATCAGAGGAATATCAAAGGAATCCCATAGAGCAAACTAGAATGGCTGAGGTAGCCGTTTAACCACGCATCTGAGTTACTGTATGTTAAATATCTAGTCTGATCTCGAGTAGCTTATTTACACACATCATTCAGAGGTGGTTGGAGTTTTACTCTGGAGGCAGGTCACTCTTTGAGCATGTGGGTATGAGGAGAGAGCCAGTTTCACCTGGATGACCACATGGCTAATGGCTGTCTTCTTCCTGGCCCGGGCCTTTAAATAACCTTTCTGACCTCAGCAGCCCAGTCCAATTGAAGCTGCCAGTGCTGGCCACAAGCCAACCAATCTAAAAAAGCATCACTGGTCACCTGGGCCGGTGAGCGGGCTGGGCTTTCTCGCCCCCCTCCCCAGGTGACCAGAGCATCTGCCTCCCAGGCACCAGGCTTTTGTCATGAAGACATGGGAGGGAGATCCTCACCCTGAGGAATTCAAAACCAGCCTCTCACACTGGTGGAGACAGATCTCTGGAGAGGGGCACAGACTGTGGCCTTTCTGCCACAGGGCCAGTCCCGGCTGCCCTGTGCTATGCTCCACCATGAGACCCCCAGTGACCCTGATGGTAGCTGCTACTGCTG